AGTCTTGACTGAAGTGCATAGGGGTTAGAACCGCCGCTGACAGTTTCCATCCAAGATCCCGCTGGTCTTCCTCACGATATCCATGCACCACGCTGTTTCTCAGTATTTCTGTTGCTCGGACATCTCGCCTCCGTCAGCGTGGTGCCCTCTATGTCACGGAGAAGCCTGTACGGCTACTGCCACACCATATCGTTTCCGCGCTGGCAATTCTGGAGTCCTTTTCCCAACTATCCCTTCTGTCTGCCCGATCACGGTCCGACGAAACACTCGAACACGCCCAGTCACGCTTTATCCTTCCATTCCCTCGAATTGTTCCCTTCGGAATCATTCACCGTCTTGAAGCCGTCTCCCCTCGTCGTCTACTTTGCCCAAGAGCACGTCGACGTCGCTGCTCGACTCTCTACCTAGTTCACGCGGTGGTCCAGGTGCAACTCGCGGATATCGGACCGCCTAACGCCCTGCATACTCGGAGACACCATTACCCGGCCCCTCACACGCGCTCTAGATTGTCCATAGCCTCCCAGAAACATTCGCCCTCATGGGCTTCTGACGCGACTTACTGCGCGCGTTGTTCGCCGTCCAGAAATCTCCTACTATATCCCGTCTCCACATTCGACCGTCAGCGTTGCACACCCATCCCCTCTCTCCGCCCTTCCGATCCCTACACATCGGCTGCGCACTGCCAGCATCCAGGCTTCCTCTTCTTTTCTCTTTCCTTTCGTCTCCCCACATCTCGATATGCCTCTCTTTTTTTTCCTGGGTTCCGATTGTCATCCCGCTGTCTTACCATGTTGACCTCCGCGCGTTCTGAGTTCTTGGAGATCCACTCACGATTGATATATCCCAGTCTTCGCACGTGCAGCCTCGTCGCATACATACAGGGCTCCTTAACAGCTGTACGGTAGTGTCGTGCTCAAAGATGATCATTGTGCTAGCTTGAGTACCCTGTTGAACTTCTGTGTCTACGGCTGTGCCGGACCGGGAGTGGCAGTGATAGTGGCTGTGCGTCTACCATACGCCAGCATGGACTTTCCTACTTACCATATACGTACATTCTTTTGTTCTGTACTTACTTGGCATCCTGCCATCCCTCCATATGATTCTGGTACGT